TGACGAGCTCATGAAAGGATCGGGCTATAAAGCTGTAAAACGATCACGCGGCGCCCACTCTATCACCGGCGTCGCTGGAAGGAGTATCGCCTCAAGAACCGCTAACAAGCGTAAGCGACATACGGGAATGAAGCCTGCTCCGCGTCGAAAAAAAAGGAGTAAAAAAATAAAGTCAAAAACCAAGAAACCCGCGTGTCGAAGTGAAGGCGCTGACAATGCACGCCGGTTTGCACGGTGGCACTAGTGATAACGTGATTCTCGGCTAATTACCTAAGCGGATTATAATAGGTTTCGTCGATAACAAGGCCTTCAATGGCAACTATCAACTAAACCCGTTCAATTTTAAAAACTATTGTATTAATTTCTTATCGCTGTACGTCGACGGTGTTCAAGTACCCTCGAAAGCATTGCAGACCGATTTCGGCAAATCTGGCCTTCACGTGGACGCGTATCAAACCCTCTTCAGTGGCACGGGCATACACTTCCTCAACGAGGGTAATTCGATATCTAGGAGCGCTTACGCAGACGGCTACTGTCTGTTCGTTTTCGATCTCACACCCGATCTCTCGGCAAATAGCAACACCCACTGGAACCTGATCAAGCACGGTAGTGTACGAATTGAGGTACGCTTCGACGAACCGCTTGCCACCACCGTGAACTGTATGGTATACGCAGAGTACGACAACGTTCTGGAGATCGACGCCTCGCGGCAGATCGTCGTAGATTACGGCGGCTAAACAATCGAAGAAAATACATAGGTCAGCAATTTGGGGTATGCGTCATCATCTTTTGTGCACTCGGTATCACCTGTGATCGTCAGCATCGCCGTTAGTTTCTCGTTGAACGCCTTCGAGTTAGCATCATGACCATGGATTTTGTCATTGAGATCGAATACTTCAAAGACTCCGAGGGGCGTCTGGCGCCGAAGGAGATCGGCGTCGTGGCTGTGGAAAGAAAATACATAGGCCACTGGATCGTTTCACCGCCCTGTGATTTCAACGAATTACCACCGGTGATCAGAAGCGAAAACAACACCATGACACGCTATCGGCATGGTCTAGAGTGGTTCGACGGCGGTGTAACGTACAAACAGTTATACACCAATCTCCGAAATATTGCCGGTACTTCGCGGAGCATATACACGCGGGGTACGGAGAGCGTGCTTTTTCTACAGACCGTTATGGCCCGGGAGGTTATAAATTTGGATGAAACACCCAATAATTCACCATACGAGGACTTCCCACCGAATAGCGACCATTATGAGTGTATCGTTCACGCTTGTAAGGAGACACGGGGATCGTTTACCTGTGCTCTGAACAAGGCGTTACGTCTTGAATTCTGGCTTCGAAATAACGGACCGCATATATGAACACGCTGGACCTTTACCTCGGTCTTCGCGGTATATCGGAGCATACGACGGGTGTCTACGCAGCTGATAGAATACCCCGAAACTGGTCGAAACCCGCTGCTATTATCGTTAACACGGACGATCATACGAATCCAGGAGCACATTGGGTTGCAATGTACGTGGACGCTGACGGAGACGGCTACTACTTTGACAGCTACGGATTACCACCGCTGAATCATCACCACGCATCGAGACTCCGACGGAACTGTCGATCCTTCCGATGGAACACTCAGCAGCTTCAGAGCGAGACGTCAACGGTGTGTGGCCAATTCTGCATGATGTTTTTGCACTACCTCTCCTCAGGCTTTGGGATGCATGCCTTCCAGAATGTGTTTAGCGGTGATTTGCGGAAAAACGATAGAATTGCCCGAGAGTACTACGACGCTTTTGTGCGAAAGAAGCGCTTGGCGGATCGCCAGTATGCGCAGGATAATAAGATCTATAGTGGTGGTGGTGGTGGTAGGGTACAATATTCGCGGTGTAAATCAGGCTACACGAGTTAAGACCTGTTTCATGAAAGCCGAGTGGGTTGTACGTTTAATTACATTAATTGTGGTTATAGTTTTGTAATTTTTTTATTATGGTTGTATAACATCATGTGTATATATATATATATATATATATATATGTATATATTGTAACGTATTTTCTTTAACTTGACCCGACACCGATAGCAAGACATACGGGAACGACTATCTGCGAGAACCAACCTACGTTACCTTCGGCCGTCCACCCGTCGTTCGTGCATCCGCAAGCCAGGCGGGCGCCAGCTATAGCCCTTTGCCCATCTCCAGCGGGGCGCCGGTATCTCACCCGGGCTTCTGCCGGTCCGTGGAGACGTCTCCGTCGGGTACTCTCCTCTGCCGGGCAACTCGGTACGTCGAGACTATATCCCCACGGCAGATTCGAGCACCTCGGCCTCAACTAAACACTGACATAATCTTACGAGAGCCTTGACATAACTGTACGAATCAACCCGAGAGCGTAGCTTCTGAGCAGGGTGGCGACCCGAAGAGAACCAGAAATCGAGAACGTTATCTGTATCGGTAACCGGAGCCGCCTTGGGACCGTGATTCGAAAAATCACGTCACAATATATATATATAAATAATACTATTGTAGGTTACATGTAGCAAATAAGTTTAATGATAATAATAAGTATAATGATAAAAAAACAGAATATATATATATATAATACTATTCTAGGTTAAATGTAGCGTATGGCGTAAATAATAATAATATTTATGAGGTAATAAGTCCTAAGGTAATAACCTCCCCGTACCCGAAACGCACCAGGGTGTCTCTATGAGCCACATAATAGAGGACACACAGGTTGAACTCCATTTCAGTGTCAAGTAGTATGTAATGCATACTGTGGAAGGTGTATAGCGGCTGCAGGTCCGGTGCCAGCTCGCTCACACACCCCCCACACAGTTCCTCCCACCGGTACGCATGAATATAGCCATGGAGGCACAGCCCATTATTTAATGCCTCATAGAACAAGTCATCCGGCCTGGGCGACGGGGTGTCCCGCTTCCTACCCACGTCGTCCCCACCCCTTTCCAGAGCCGCTCGTGGTGCCATTATCTCTGTGTATTAAAAGTTGGATATCGTGAGAACAACGCGAGAACTGTACGAATCGAGAACTTGCTATACCGTAGCGAAACACGGCAAGAAAAACTATCAACAGATAGCACGGGAGCACGGGCCAGGCCGTGACACCTCGGTCGGTGCCCCGAGACAGACTGCTTTGACAATAGCCAAATCCGAGAACTAATCATCCTGATTGGTCGAGAGCCTTATACCCGAGCGGCTGCAGGTCCGGTGCCAGCTCGCTCACACACCCCCCACACAGTTCCTCCCACCGGTACGCATGAATATAGCCATGGAGGCACAGCCCATTATTTAATGCCTCATAGAACAAGTCATCCGGCCTGGGCGACGGGGTGTCCCGCTTCCTACCCACGTCGTCCCCACCCCTTTCCAGAGCCGCTCGTGGTGCCATTATCTCTGTGTATTAAAAGCGTCATAATGTTTTAAATAAAAATAAATTTAAATAAACGTATTGTCTTAAAATTATAACACCTACCGCTCCAATAACCGGACCCGTCTGTACCACCCCACTAGTTGCACTGCTGCTGCTGCTGCTGCTGCTGCTGGTGCTGCTGCTGGTTAACGTCTATGTACAAATAAGTGCGAAAGGGCGATAGAAAGACAATACTTTTTTAATCAAATAAAAAAAACACGAGTACTAGCTTAAAGCTGCAATACATACTACTTTCTTCTTCTTTTTTTTTTTTAAATCAGCCTGCAAAAAACAGGTGTCCTGGTCGGGCAGTCCTCTCACTTGTCTACAAATAAAAGTAAAAGATACCGCATATAATTTTTTAATCAAATAAAAAAAACACGAGTACTAGCTTAAAGCTGCAATACATACTACTTTCTTCTTCTTTTTTTTTTTTAAATCAGCCTGCAAAAAACAGGTGTCCTGGTCGGGCAGTCCTCTCACTTGTCTACAAATAAAAGTAAAAGATACCGCATATAATTTTTTAATCAAATAAAAAGAGGATACTAGATTCAGCTTAACGCTGTTATACATACCACTTTTATTTCAAACTTCACTTTTACACTTTTACACTTTCACTTTTTCTTTTTCTTTATTTGTTTTACTTGTTCACCTACTACTCGTCGTCGCTCTACTAATAAGATGCTGCAAATATGGTTCACGGGTCATCGTCTTTTTCCCCACCATGACCACACATTTCTGCATAGTTGCAAATAAGAGATGCCCGTAGTAGGGGTTTATGCTGGCCTGGATTTCATAGGGTTGGTCAAGACAGTGGTACCCCCCACGCCAGCCGTATTAAGCAGATGCGTTGTATGTGGATGGTTCATCCCGAGTAAAATATTAGGGGTTGGATATCCACCCATCGATAGTTAAAAGTATCGAAAAAGTATCGCCAATGCGTACGATGCTTGTATAATATAAGGTGTTTCTTACAAAAAAAAGAACCGTATTCTACTTTACCACGTTACCTCCTTAGGGTAGTTAAAAAGTTACCGACCGGCGGTTACAGCATAATTACCGACCGTGATACGGCCCCTGGGGGCACGCAACACCGCTGCTACTGAGTTTCGGGCCTTAGGACCAGGCCCGCGTGGTGGGGGAGCAACAACATAGGTTGGTGGTGGGGAGAGTCGACCACATAGGCGAGGGGGTGGCGCCATAGTGCAGCGCGGGGGGCACAGCGCGATGCGCTCTATGACTCATAGGGACAGTGGTGGGGGTTTGTTGTGACTCCCATAAGTGGTGTGTATCTACTGAGATGTGTTAGAAGGCCGATTAGATTTGTTAACGACCCAGACTATGACAAATATCAACTAGATTTGTTCAAGTTACAAATATCACTTAAGGAGAGATACCAAGGTAAAGACCCCAAAAGTATAGGTTTTTTGGGGAATTTATTAAAAGAAAATTACTTAACGATTTATATGCTGCGGAAAACTAGTGACTTAGCACTACAAAAAAATCTCTATTGCGGAGAAAGAGAGAGTGAAATAGCCGAAACTCATTGAGTTTTTATTCTACCGCATGCTGCTTATTTCAAATTCCGGTATAAATTTTACAAATACGTTTTCAAGGCCCTATACTTTAAGAAAATGCAAATAAAAAATGCAATCTTTTTCAAATTTCTAAAATAGAATATCCCCTTAATGAGAAAAGAAAAAATGGCGCTCATGCACATTAGCAACGAAAATATATTATTGTAATTAAAGCAATATATGAATTGTACCTTGACTATGACTACCTTGTCATAGTCACACTTAATGAACCAGGGGAAACACTGCATTTTTACCTGTTATTTGTGACACGTTTTTTTTTTGTAATGTTATAACTTTTAAACAAATTGGTTTTGCTATTGAATTATAGTTAATATTATTTAACTTAACGGTACGTGTTTGTTCAAAAGTCATAGAGCAATGAAAATCGTCCAGCTGAAAGACCATTTGAAATTACTTAAAGGTCAACAAATAATTGTAACGAGTTAGTGTTAAAAAGCGTCTAACACATAATTTTATCTGAACAAACTAATTGTATTATTGACATGTCACTAAATATCTAATAACTAACAATGAGAAGTAGCGAATAAGTTCAAGTCAAACCTCAATTTTAAGGAGAATGGTATTGGCATCATTTGGATCCTTCCACAAGGGAATAACTATAAGTTCACCAGTCACTTGAAATCCTACATCGCTGAATTTCATTGGACCGACTTCTTCGAAGAGAACTGTGGTGGTCAACTGATATCGGAAGCCATTTCCAAGGTTCCAACCACAGGCGACGCCAGTAACTGTTATTATTGATGAGCAAACGAATAAGATATTTTTCATATTCTTGATAACCTTTAGATTCTCGTTTAATGAAGTGTAATAATGAAGTAGATTGTGTGGCCCGAAACCGGTAGTCTCTTAGTTGGTTGATACTAGTCGACTAATAATTACGCTTAACCGATAGACTTTACTATACTCAAAAAAAATTATGCGTTACTAATCAGTCCCACAAAGTGGAGGTCAGGTAATGGGCTTTTCTTTCTTCTTCCTCCTTCTCCACTGCCAATACTATAATTCCTCAAGTTACTACTTTTTTGCTTGTGTCTTTTCTTACGCTTACTACCTTGTCTTCGCTTTTCATATACATTATACACAGCACTATAGTCGATACAAGAGTAAAATGGTCAAGGACCTGCGGACACCGTTATAAAACTTGTAGAAACATATTGCCCCTATAACAGATTAGCGTTGATAAATTCAAGAACTTCTGAATTTTATAAATGAAATACATAGCGCGCATTACTTTATTTCTACTACAGTATTACTATTTGTGTTATATTCGTTATTATTTAACCTGTTTTCCATTCTGCTATTTTATTTTAACATCTGTAATTATGTTGCATTTAGGTATAAGTATTTTACAATAGTCACTATCAGTTTGCATATGTTTGATATATTAGGAAATTTCTATATAAGCAATTCATAAATATAAATACATATGAGCGATTCCATCAGACTTCAGTCACCCGGATTTTATTTGCTGTGCTACGTGGATTCGGTCCTTTTTATTTTGAACACTGATATCCCGGAGACGGTGCATCGTATCAAAAAAATATACTAAATGAAAGTTTGGTTTTTTAGTATCTACAATAAAAAAAAATTTTATTTTTTTGAGTGATCTAAACCTATTTTTAAAAAAATACACCATTTTTTCTGACCAAAGCTCCACCGATATCGGTATTACGGAATTTTTTTAATATTCTGTAGACAGAATATGAATTTTGTGCAAAATTACAAATTGGGACATCCAGCCGTTTCTTAGTCACAATTTTTTTTTAATTTATAAGAACACTTAAATTTGGAAATTAATATATTTCATATTCAAATTTCCAAGATCTGTATACTAAAATTATGTTACTTGTAACTATGAAAGCAATTCATAACCTTTTTTGAAATTTTGATACAATTCAAACGGATATTAACGGATCCGTTTTTAATAATTTCACGCCACAAATGAAAAATCTATTCCATGTTTTTTTATAGGTTAAGATATGTGTAAAAGATGCATATTAAATTATTGGATCGTCTATGGAAATCTGAAATTCACCCAATAAACAATTAAGAATTGTCGTCGACTTCACGAAACATGCCTCATACATCAAGTAACGAAAAATTTAGATGCTTTAATATTTTTCATTTACTGCCCTATACGCTGTTGATTTATGAACAGAAAGAAATATGCAATTGAATGCAAAATAATTTTTGAAAAATTATATCAAGGATTAAGTCCAGATTATAAATATTTTATTTGCAAATTGAGAAATATATTTCTTCCATTTGTGAAAATATTTTTATTTAATGAAAGTTGCACCTGAATTATTGGTATTATAGTTAGTAATAATAAAAAATAGATAAAACTTTTTTATATCTTTTACATCTATGCGAACAACCTAACAAAACTTAATAAATTAAATTAAGACTATTTTCGAATTTTGTTTTGCAGTTCATTATCAAAATTTACTCACTGTAGATCGAAATTAATTTATTAGAGTAATTATATTTCCTATAAGAACATGAACTGTTATATGAATTTAACATACTACAGTCAATTAGTTTTTGAATTCTGTTTTCATATATTCACCCACCATAGTGTAAATTTAATATATTTGTATATATAATTATTAGAAAAATATTTAATTCTTTTTATATACCGATAACGTTATATTCTTCAGAAAACTTCATATACATTTTATAAATTTTTAAAGACATATTTTTAACAGTGTACGTATAAGGAATTATTTGTGAACGAAATTAAATATTTGGTAATCTTCCTATTCATAGAAATATTACTGAAAACATATATCGTGCACATGACTAAGAACTTAGTTTTCGAGAAACAGTAAGATAAGTAAGCGAAGCAAAATTATCATCATTGTAAAGTTTTCTTTCATTTATGTCATCATGCATAGATAATATTATTTAGTATAGCTTAATAATGTACGGTCATTCGACGAGAGCTTCCTGCTCGTCGTTATGTTACTTTTCAATATATAGGGTGTTCCAAAATTACCTGACCTGGTGGGTATGGCGGTGTTCGGGAGGCTTCACTGATCATGAAAATGACCTTTTTGTCCGGAAGGTCATAGTTTCTAAATGGGAGCAGGTCAAAGTTGACCAATCAGAGCGAGGCGTCAAGAGAAACGAAGGCACCTACGAACTCTGAGTTTTCTTCCCTCGCTTTTGTTTCTCGGTGGCTTCGGGCAGGATAACGTCAGCCGAAGACATGCCTATTGGAAACAAGAAACAAGTCACCGAGAAACAAAAGCGAGGGAAGAAAACTCAGAGTTCGTAGGTGCCTTCGTTTCTCTTGACGCCTCGCTCTGATTGGTCAACTTTGACCTGCTCCCATTTAGAAACTATGACCTTCCGGACAAAAAGGTCATTTTCATGATCAGTGAAGCCTCCCGAACACCGCCATACCCACCAGGTCAGGTAATTTTGGAACACCCTATATATTGAAAAGTAACATAACGACGGCTCTGATTGGCCATCTTTGACCTGCTCCCATTTAAAAACTATGACCTTCCGGACAAAAAGAAGGTCATTTTCGTGATCAATGAAGCCTCCCGAACACCGCCATACCCACCGGGTCAAGTAATTTTGGAACACCCTGTATAATCGAAAGACGAGGTATTGTAAAGTGTATTATAAATTATAAGTGCTTCATTATTCTTAGCGATAACGGCATTCCGAATTGAAAACTTGTTTCCCTATCGTCAGGAAATGACAACAACCTCATTTTTAGACACGAGGTTGTGGAATATGTGGAAGCGTCTTATGCAACTGTTATTATAAGAATGTATTCTTTGCAGTATAACATTTTTCGTCACCTGTTGACACTATTTCAAAAATTTGTTTTCTATTCTACCCATTGATATAAAATGCTCTTTCCCGTGACAACCATTTAGTTTTACAAAGCTGCACCAAATTATCAGAGGTTTTGCTATTATCATTAATTAAATTAAATACATCTTGGTAACATAAAACAAATTTTGCGCGCAACGAGTTACACTTGAATATAGTCGCGATTATTATATCACAAAGCCATAGTTTTTATTTAGCATAGAAATGATTACCCTGCTACTTTAAATTCTTCCCCATATTGTCTAATTATAAGGCCCCACAAAAACACTTTCGTGTAAAAAACCTCGCCAAGTACAGGATTGCTATGAATGCCCAATCTTAAAAGAAAATACCTATATTTAGATCATGCATTATTGTTCTAGTAACAAAAAATATTGAAATCACATTACAATGACAAGTGCATAAGTCACTACAAATCTGCTCATTATATAATCTAGCAATAATTCATCATATTAACCCATTATAAATCACAGAAAAATCCCTAAATTTGTAGTCGAACGAACGGGCTCTGCAGTGGAGGCATAAATAGTATAGCTGTGCCGGTTCTGGACCACGATTCCTGTAACTGACATTTACCGACATTCGAAAACCTCAAACATCAATTTCTGGAAGTGACGTTGTCAAGTCCCTTGATTACAAGAATTTTCGCTCAATTCCGGAAATTTTGTGTCACATTCCGGGAATTTTGCGTTCGATTCTAGGAATCGCAACCGATCAGGAACCTTTTAAAATATTCTAGATACTTCAACGGTTCGTGTCTGTGCTAAATCGCAGAGGATCATTCCCAGAGTCGGCGGCCCACACACGCGACGTTTTAAGTCAATTCCTCTCCCCTCATCCCCCGAGAAGTTTTCAGAAGCTTCGATGAACTCTGTCCTATTCCCGTGTAAGTTCGTGCAGTTTTCCAACGGCAGCTCTCAGCCGATTTGACCTCGAACGTTATCTGTCATGATTGCGCATGGAGGATGCAGTCCTCCAAAATGCAGGAAGTTTCCAAAACTTTCCTCCCTAACCTTGAACCTTAGGCTGGGTGCACACGAGCGGCAAGTGGATGCGAGCACGCTGCGTTCACAGAGTGTATTGGGAAAATGGTGTAATGCACATGTGACGCTTCGCCGCTGCGGCAACGGATATTGGCTTGCCGCGCATCGGCCGTGCCGCGACATCAGTGATACAGTACTCAACAACGAATGGAGCCAGGTATGTACGTACATACACGTGTTTTTGTGCACATTGTATTTATCTGCGTTGTAACCACGGTCAAGAATGAAGATGGATGAAATAGACACAGAATTGTTTATTAACGAAATAAAAAAGTATCCGAAAATTTGGAATATTTCTATTGAAGAATGCCACGATAAAAATAAAAAGCAAGTAGCTTGGAGTTTCGTGTGCGAAGCAATTTATGAGAATTGATAATGAAAAATCCGAAATGGAGAAGATTAATATTCGTAAGTATTGTTTCATTTACTTCCATCTATTATAATTTCAGCTACTTAATTGCTTTTACATCAGATATATATTTATGAAAAGTGATGATGACAGTATTTTATATTGCAAAGTAATTAGGTTAGAACACTCATATAAAATTTTCCTGCCATGTAACTCGGCCAACATCACTTTCGAAATAATCAACAAATTGATTTCTAATAGCATTTACCCTTGCTCCACTTTTCATCGACTTAGATGCATTAATTTTGCTATCTTTATACAGACGTTTAATGGACAAAGTGACCTCAAAGTCGTACTCGTTTCTATAACGAATATAATTGTCAAAAAGGCAGCAAGTTTTTATAATTGCAACAGTAAATTCAATTTTCACATTCATAGGTCTGTGGAAAATTCGCCATTTGTGTCACAGTATACCAAATGCACATTCAACGTATCGACGGGCCCTGCTCAAGCGATAATTAAACATTCGTTTTGACTTGGTCAATGTTTTTCCTTTGTGCATAATGTGTTCAGATAGTCCAAATGCTTTGTCTCCTATAAATAGATAAGGTATATTTGAATCCTCAGTGTTGGGAAGTGGCTTGCTTTTGGGGATGTTCAGTGAATTATCAATTAATTTCTTGTGGAAACTGGAGGATTCAAATATAGTACTGTCCCCTTCTTTATTAAACGATCCTACGTCTATGTAAATGAAATTATAGTTAGCATCCACTATTCCAATAAGAACAATGGAAAAAAAATGTTTATAGATGA